AGTTGGGAAATTTCAGAGCAATTTCTTGAAAGAGTGGCCTAAATAAATGATTTTACCTTCATCAAAAGGTTACTATGTCTGAGATGTTTGGTAGAACTTCGGCATGCATAAAATCAGGGGCCTGTTGCCTTCAACTAAAAACACTCTCAATTCTTGACAAGTAACTCTAGGACAACTGAAAATGTCAGTTAAGCTGAGAATTAAAGTAAAGGAATAATTCTTTTTTAAATAGAGCATCTTCAGCTTCATCTTTTCTCAGCCTTAACTATAAAAATGATACACCACGCAAAAGCCAAATAAAGGTTTAGACTCTTATCCCAGTCATTTTTCATTTTTTATTGTATTTGGTTATCTTACATCTGCCCAAATTACAAACCTTCCAAAAAAATTCAAGTAATGCAAAGGAGAGAGTTAAACAAATCTGATGGTTCTCCTATAACCTTATAATGTGGTCATCCTGGAAACTATACTACCTGCTTAGTTTCCATGGCAGCTGTAACAAATTACCACAAATCTGAAGGTTCAAAATACTGAAAATTCATTCTCTCAGTTCTGGAKGCCAGAAGTCCCAAATCAGTTTTCTGGGCCAAAATCAAGGTGTGGTTGGGACTGCTTGCTCTCTCTCTCTCTCTCTCTCTCTCTCTCTCTCTCTCTCTCTCTCTCTCTCTCTCTCTCTCTCTCCCCTGTTGGGGAGAACCACTACCTGACTCTTATACCTTCTGATCACCCATTTCTACCTCTGTAGCCACACAATGATACATGTATGTGCCCTTAGGACCCAAGCTGACACCCAGACTAATCTGCACATTTTTTAAATCCTTAATCATGTATGCAGAGTCCATTTTGCCATATCACGTAACATTTACAGGTTCCCAGGATCCAGGAGTGGATATCTTTTGGAAAGTCATTACTCAATTTACTACACCTGCCTCAAAATAAACTCAAAGCAATTAGCAAGGATGTACTAATCTCATCAAGCCTCCTTTGTTTTCAACTTTAAATTCCCACTTCAGTAAGCAAAAGGTCTCCAACCTTATACCTCTTTCCACCTTACAACCTGCATATAACCAGGAAATCACTAACTATTCATTAAAGGCATTATGACAGGTGTGATGACGCACACCTGTAATTCCAGCAACTCAGGACGCTGCAGCTGGAGGATTGTAAGTTGGAGGCCAGCCTTGGCAACTTAGAAAAATTTCGTCTCGAAATTAAAATAAAAGAAAAAAAAATCTGGGATGTTGCTCAGTGGTAGAGCACCTGTGAGTTCAATCCCAGGTACTACAAAAAAAAAAAAAAAAGAAAAAAAAAGGCATCACTAATTATTGTTAATGGTTCTCTTAAATGAGAAAATCAGTGAAGATTAAAATTCCCAGCAGCTATAAAGAGTAATATAGGACAGTGATTAAGGATCAAAGCTATGTGACCTTAGGCAGTCTCTTCATATGATAAACACAGATAATATAAAATTTGTAAGTCATGGACTTGGACTGAGCACCTGCACTGAGGCTGACAGACCAAACCAATATCATTTAGTCACAGTAACTTGAGTTTGGCAAGCTGAAGAAGGCCAGCCAGCCAGTTAACTAATTAGGCTATAACCAACTGTTAAGCTTTAACCAAATGACCACTTTGATTGACTAAGCTGTCATCAATTAAATTGTTTTCTATGACCTCACTATTTTCCTATAAATTCTGTCTAATCACAACATTGGAGTTCTCGGAACTGCCCCTAGTTCTAGGAACTGTCCAATTTGCAAATCATTCTTATTTTGCTTTGCTCAAATAAAGAGGCAGGCAAACCAAAACAGCTACTTAGGAGGCATCCTTAAAATTGGTATATTAGCCTTAGGCCAGAAATTCAGGTAAAGCTGAGCACAGACCTCCAGCCCTTCTTAAGAATCCCAGTGCTGGGGCTGGGGCTGGGGTTGTGGCTCAGYGGTAGAGCACTTGCCTGGCATGCACAAGGCCCTGGGTTCAATCCTCAACACCCACATAAAAATAAATAAACAAACAAAATAAAGGTATTGTGTCTAACCAAAAAATAAATATTAAAAAAAAAGGATCCCAATTCAAAAAAATGATCCAAAATTGTCAGTCTGATCAGGTTCCTGGTAGAAACATTCTAAATATCTCCATAGAAAAGCAATCCCAGGGGCCTAGGTTCAGTGGTACAGCACTCACTATAAGTGTAAGGTCCTAGATTTGGTTCYCCAAAAAACAAGCCATTAAGAAAGAAAACTGTCTTGTTTAAGCCTCCTGGAATCCTACAGGTTAAGATAAAGCAATGAAATGAACTTACAAAGATCAACAGGAGCTAGTCACCATGAGGCCAAGCCAAAGACTGCACATACCAGAACAATTATATAAAGACTAGTAACAGACAAGTAAAACGTTTTAAGGGAGGGGGGCCTAAAAAAAGGGGGACCACTCAGGCAGAATTGAAAAGGAAGCAGATCTAATGTGGTAATCACAACTGATGATGGAATTTCAAAGATCACATGAATACAAATTACTTCTAAATATGAAATCACAATTCAAATCAAATCCCATCCACACAGTATTTTTGATATGTTTATTCATTTTAGAGCAAAACAGTTAAGGTGCAGGACAGGCTGAATAAGTTGTCTGCAGGGCATGCCAAACAAAGTTAGCTGCAGGGTTACCTGGCCACTCAAACCCTAGGTCTGGTTCTTTATCACCTGTTTGCTTCAAGCCCAAAGGCCTAAGCCCCCACTCAAAGCTGAATGCTTCGCCCCCCTGCTCAAGACTGAACACTCAACCCACCGCTCAAGGCTGAACACTTAACCCCCTTGTGTGCCAACAAGGCAGCTTGCAGACCCAGAGACCCCATTAGATTTGGGCTATAAAAACTCCTTTCCTCCGGGCCTCTCTCTCTCTCTTGCTCTTGCTCTGTCTCTCTTGTTCTTGCTCTCTCTTGCGCTCTCGCTCGCTCTCTCTCTCTCTCTCTCTCTCTTTCTCTTTCTCTCTTTTCTCCTCTGTTGCACTGCTGCAATAAAGATCTCCTGGTCGCTCCGAGTGTTGTGGTCACTTTCCTTTCATATTAGATTTTAGATGTCATTCCATAAGGCTTTTAACAAATGGTGTGATGCAAAAGGAAATATGGCACACCTAAGCAATGAAAAACATAGAAACTAGAACCCAAATCACAGGATATAGACTTTGATGACACTAAACATAAATATTGATTTGGGTTCTGTTTTCACAACCTCCTTGCTGGGAATTAGGGAAAATAATAACTCCCATGTTCCATATGAGCCACTGGAGTCAAGACAAAACAGAACGATTTTTTTTTTTTTTAAATCAGGGATTGAATCCAGGGTCCCTTAACCACTAAGTGACATCCCCATCCCTTTTTATCTTTCTGAGACAGGATCTCCCTAAATTGCTTGAGACCTTGCCAAATTGTTGAGGTTCACTTTGAACTTGGGAAACTCCTGCCTCAGTCTCCCAAGCACTGAGATAGGCATGTGCCACCATGCCAAGCTAGAATGAAATTATTAACCCAGGAGTAGATTATAAAAGGAAGTCATTATTCCAGTKGATTTTTCTCATATTGGGCAGAATCTTTCACCGCCAAATTAACTCTCTCCTATTCTTCAAATCTGTCAAGAAAACAATGATCAAGTACAGGCTTGGTCAATTTGATACTTAATTTAGTATAATWAATTCCTATTGTTCCTCATTTTCAGTATGCTGAGATATCTCATAGCCATGCTCAGTTGATTTTGGTTTGTAGGAATGAAGATTGAACCCAAGGCCATGCACATGATGGGCAAGCATTCTTCCACTGAACTACATCCCCAACCCTTTTTATTTTGAGACATAGTCCTGCTAAATTGCCCAGGCTGGCCTAGAACTGGTGATCCGCCTTCTTCAGCCTCCATAGGAGCTAGGATTACAGGGCTGTGTCTAAGGGAAGGCTCAACTCTTATTTATTTTTTTAAATATTTTTTAGTTGTTGATGGACCTTTATTTTATTTACTTATTTATATGTGGTGCTGAGAATCTAACCCAGTGCCCCACACTCTACTGCTGTGCCAGACTCTAGCCCCTCAACTATTATTTTTAATAATTTTTTCTATATTTAACTAAATGTCATATTTAGCAACTGGTTCACAAGCCACTATTCCCTTAATTTGTGAATCATGAGGCAAATTACTCAAGTTTTACTTGTCTACAAATCGCAAATGCTGTGCTATCACTATATTAAAAAATATTTTTCCTTATTCTTAAGTCAATGAAGAGGTTAACATTACATTTCAATTTGGTTGGGCCTGACCCACATCTATCAAGCTTCTAGGAGTTACTTACACACACACACACACAACCAAATGAATCGCTAGTCTTTCACTAGCTAAGACAAAACTTTCAAGGTGCTAATCATGACAGTTCCCTTGAGTGTTGAAGTGAGTAAGTAAAATAAATCAGAAGAGCAAGTTTCAAATACTTAGACTTCTTTCCAAACTAAACATTCTTTAGCAGTGACTACATGACCCGCCAAGTTTTAAAATGGGCTGTTTCAACTTGGAAAAATGCATCTACCTTAAAAAGCTCTTATTGAATTAAAAATTAAGCAGAAAAATAAATACTATCACCTAAAAGTTCACTTTCTGTCTTATACCCTCTTACTCTAAGGAAAAGAGAGAAGTTCGATTTTTTTAAAAATGCAATGTTCACGTAGATGACGTCAACACATACATATTTGAACTGCTTTACAGGTCGGCCTTAAGAAATGTGGGCYAGCACAACAATCAGTGCATTTGTACAATTATCCTAATAGAATTGGACCCATCGTGGTCGATCTATGAAGATTAGCAGCTCTAGATATTTAGAACAAAATTTARTCCCCAGTCCCGGTGTGCCCAACCTGGCTGTCAGCCACGTCTAAATTTAATGGGCTCCAAGGATGCGAGGACCGGTTCACATCACCTGGGTGAGGCGAGAGCAGCCTCATCCCAGCAGTAGGCGATACTTACAAATTTGGGGCGTTTCTCCCCAGGATCCTCTGGCCCGCGAGGCAACGGAGGGTGTTGGGGGCCCTTCTTGCGCTGAATCTTGCTCTCCCGGCAGCTGCGGAGCAAGGCAGAGGAGGGATAGGGGGCCCCGGCGGCGGAGCCATAGGCTGGGTGGTGCAGCCGCGGCCGGTGCCGCTCCATCTTTCCCCACAGCACCCGGACCAAGAGAAGGCAATCCTTCACCAAGCACAGTCGGGGCTCAGGGATCAGGGTGGGTTCGCCTTCCTGGTTCCGCCGCCCACGCCGTTGACCCAGCCCAGCCCAACCGCTACAGCACAGGCCCAGGCCAACACATCCGAAATCTCCCGCCACCTAGGGTCCGCCTTAGATTCGCCAATCCCGCGCCGCTGGTTCAATTACACGTCAGAACCCCGCCCCTTCCGGGACTGTCATAAGGTGATTGGCTGTTCTGCCTGTCTATTCCGCTACTCTACTCCTCCAGCAGTCCTCGCTATGCAACTTAAAGGCACAGAATGAGTTCGGATTTGTAGACCCCAGGCAGAACCAATGAGAAAGTCACTTTCCTCTTTTGGGAATTTGGAGAAACCGCTTCTCGCCAAACTGGAAGGCAATCGAGACTGACTGAGTGCCTTTGGAACACTGATGGAATGCAAAATTATTTACTAGCCTCTTACATGTCTCCGGAGGTTTCGGTGGGTTGGCCACAGAAAAGTGCTGGACACTCTGGGAAAGAATGTATGCTGGACACAATTAGCACCCGCACAGTGCCTAAATGATGCCTGTTGGCTCTGGGTTAGGAGAGGGCTCCACCAAAAATTAGCCTGATTGGACACAAACTTTTACACAAATAACGGTTATAGCAGTTCTCTGATTTATTGAGAACACAGAGGAGAGAGAAATTTTGTCCCACCGTCCCAGACGTGGGACACTATAAAAACCTAAATAGAGTATATAGTATGTAATATATAATTATATAAAATGTAATATAATGTGTAATAATTATAACAATATAAGTATGTTAAAATAAATATAATATTGGTTAATAATAATATAATATATGAGCACTCGATGATGAGCTCCAACCTATTTTAATGCACCTGTATCAATTTCGTTGAAATATTCACAAAACTGAATACTTAGGACTTTAATAGGTTAAACCTGAAGATCTACTCCAGATCTGGGAGGGATGCATAGGTTTTCACCAGGCWGAAAACAGTGGTGGGGCATTCAGTTAAAAGGCATTTCAGGGAGGTGGAAGGCCAAGAGTGGTCAAAAGCATGAAGTTGAAGCAAATTTGTCAGCATATAATAAAGGCCCTTGAACTGAAACTATGCAGAAGATTTTGTGTATTATGACAGTCAAGATAGGAAGTTAGCACAGTTTTCTCATGTATTAGTGTACCTTTTCCTTTCTTTAAAAGCCATCTTTTCCTTTGAACTGTTTCCTTATAATATCCATCTTCTGACTATATGAAAGTGGTATGGGCCAGTAAACATGTATTACTAATTTTGGCACAAGAAACAATTCCAGGTACTCAAGAGAGATTAGCATAGAGGTTCAGAAAAACAGGCCTTGGTTCCAAATAAATCTTCACAGATTTTTTGTTTCAGGATTTTTGTTTAGTTAATTTGGGGCATTTTTTTTTTTAATGTTTGTTTTTACTCTGTCAAACTCTCTGTARCCAACTCTGTTCTCAAAGTTCACTTAATCTTTAGGGAAACTTTCAAGAGAACAGCAAGATGGTTTGAACTAGAAGTAGTTCTTTTCATTTTGATGACAGACCAAGAAGCAAGTTTTATTCTAGACATTTACTACCTATATGTTGTTGGAAATAATGTTTGACTTTCTTTTATTCTCCATCTATATAAGGGAGATAATAATGGTCATACTTCCCAAATAGTGGTGCTCTCAGATTTAAATGAGATAGCATATATAAAGTTCTTAGAGCTTTAGTATCCTCCAGCCAAAGACTAGCAGGAGAAATAACTGAAGTTGGAAAAGTTTGGGCTTATTACAGAGAGCAAGAACATGCACTATGAAAAATTATGATTTTTCTCAGTTAGAGGGTGCTAGAAAGCACTAATAGGATTTGTGCTTTGATTAGGTGATTTGGGGAAGACTCCAAAGAATAAAGTAGGGAGGATTGCTCTGCATTAAGTGCCATCAGGAAGTGGGAACAGTTCAATGAGTGGGTATCTTAAATCTTATCTAGTACCATGTCAGTGGGGTTTCAAGATGGTGGGATAGAGAAGGTCACTTTCCTGACTGCTCCATGGCGTTGAACCAAGAAAGCAGACAGCGGGCTTCCCAACAAGGTGGGTAAACCAAAAACAAAAATGGTGGGTACTTTACTGGAATTTAATACTGGACACTCAAAGCACCATGTCAGGCTAAAGAGCAAGGCTAAGGCTATAACTCACAACCAAAGCAATAATTTATATCAAGGAGAAGAGCTATTTGGTGTCAAAAGACAAAATAACAATATTAGTTTAAAGATCTTATTGGCCTATTTTTACAATTCTAGAATAAGACAACACCTCATTGTATCCATTAAAATGAGTGTTCCAATAAACTGAACAAAGAATTTTGTCTGTTTTGGAAGAAAGTGAAAATGAAGAACAAAAGGCTAACTGATCATTTCCATATTCTTTATAGGGTAAAAATGGAGGAAATTTTCTTAGCATGCCATCTCAGGTAAACTGGTTCCTTCTCATTAGTTGCTATGAATCTCTTAATTTTTATTCAAGAACTAGCCCATTTCAGAATTTGGTTTGAATATGAGTACCCCAGTTTGGTCTGTTCTGCTGCAGTCAACTATAGGAGCTTACTTCAAAACTAAGCTTAAGTTTTAACCCAAAATGCAGGAAGAAAGGGAAAAACGGAGAAAGGGTGAAAGGGAGAAAGGAAGGAAGAGAGGAAGGGAGAAAAAAAGGAAGGAAGGAAGGAAGGACAACACCAAAAATGAACCTTAATTTAAACAGGACTTTGGATGATATTGACATGTCAATGTAGGTTATTCATTTGTAATAAATGCATCCCTCTGATGCAGGATATTAATTGGGGAGGGTATGTATGCATGTTGGGGGTGGATACAGGTGGATGTGGGGACTGTCTCTAATTCCTGTTCAGTGTTACTGTGGACTTAAAACTGCTCTAAGAAATAAAATGCAGGTGTTATTTTTTTTTTATTTAAATGTGATCAAAACTGACTTAGGACAGAAGGCAAAATATCCAAGTTTAAATATGMTAAATTTGAAATGCCCAAAAGAGACACTTGCTAAAAATTTAATTTTAAACATGCTAGGTTTGAGATGCCTAAAAGAGATACTTGTAAAAATATGAAGAGATACTATACTCTGGTTTTATATGTTATTTTTGTCAATTAACACTATAGTATTAAAACTGTGATACTGTATTTAATAGAAAATTGCCTATAAAATATTATGGATACTATAAAAATATTATTTTTAACTTATTAATTATAAACACGAGTCTTCCTGTGTTACCTRAGCTGACCTTGAACTTCTAGGCTCAAGGGATTCCTCCTGCTTCTGCCTTCCAAGCAGCTGGGACTACATGTGTGCACAACTGTGCCTGTCTCTTATGAATTATTTAGACTGAAAAAATGACCTAATTTTTTTTTTTTGGTACCAGAGATTGAACCCATGAGTGCTTAACCACTGACCCACATCCCCAGCCCTTTTTAAAATATTTTATTTAGAGACAGGTTCTCTCTGAGTTACTCAGGCCTTGCTAAGTTGCTGAGGCTGGCTTTGAATTCACTATCGTTTTGCCTCAGCCTCCCAAAACACTGGGATTACTGGAATGTGCCAGCACACTGGGAAATTACCTAATTCTTAAAGGAATAAATGGAAGGGTTAAGAGCTCATTTTACAACACAAATCCTAAGTACAGGATAAATTTTCTTCTTTTCTATATTAAAAAAACTTATTAATATGTTGTTTTGTACTATAATTTTTTAAGATGTTGCCATTGGTGAACCTGGTAAAGTATACAGAAAATTTCTTTGATTATTTCTTACTACTGCATGTGCATCAACAATTATYTCCAAATAAAAGTTTAAGAAATAATAAAAAAATCTAAGCTTAATCATAATGGCTTCTATGTCTTTATTAAATATTAATACATTGTTATATGCACACAGAACATTCTTTGTCTCTGCTTAGAAAAAAATAGGGGAAGTGTTCTTGTTTTGTCTCATTTCATCATGATGACTTGTCTGACATTGGTGTTCTGCAAGATGTTGTCCATCAGGAAAACAACATGACCTAGGTCTGAGTTTCAAGCCTGCCTTTAAAAACACTGAGACAAGCTGTAAGTGTCAAACTAGTTCCCTAATGTCAAAGACGACTCTTTCCATTTCTGGTATCTTTGGCACATAAAAGGCACTAAATATAAATGAACAGAGCTAATAATTGATATTCATGTTTACATAGAGCACTCTGTTTTTGTCATAGAAGATCCTTGCAACTTCAGTGAACCAGTGAAAATAATATTTCTGTATGTTTTATATTTTGAAAGCATATTTCACGTGTTATTTAAAGCTCACAACAGTATGCACTACCTTTCATTCTGATTACCAAACAACAAGGACATGATTCACTCCATGGAATTWACAATTTTGGAAGCTATACTTGTATAGACAGAGTTGCACTGAGACAAAATTGAAGGAAATGAAAGGCAGACCTGGAAAAGCTTGGTATCCAGGAATACTCTTCTTTATCATGTCTGTCCAGTCTCAACATCCATTCACTCTAAATGACCACAGGAGAAAGTCCTGAAAAATTGAGAAAAGTAATGCAGCATCCCTAATCAATTGTAGAAAAAATAAGCTATCATTTTACCTACACTCAATTGACAAATATTACAAAGTCCCATGTCATCAAGTTTTGGTCAAACTGTAAGGATACATGAATTCCTACATAGATAGTRGAAATGCAAAACTGATTCACTCACTTTAGACAACAAACAACTTSGTAATACTAATAAAAGTAAAGAAACCTATACCTATGACCCAGCAATTCTAGATGTTTCCCTGGAGAAGACCAAAGATACACTCAAAAGAATTTCTTTATGCCTGGTACAGTTGGCACATGTCTGGAAACCCAGTTACTTGGGATGCTGAGGCAGGAGGATTGCAAGTAGACAGAGGGTTGGGG